TGCTGGAAGGGGGCTGCGTCGTCTCAAGGCATGGAGTCCACCTCGAGGGCTAGAGGTCAAAGGTTCAGTCCCAGGGAAGGGCTGGGATTTTCTCAATTGGACTTCTAGTAATTCCCCCTGGTCTTTGGGTGGTAAGATCGGACTCCCGTGTGTGTTGTTGCCCACTGGAAAATCCCTTTCCAGTTTGAAATCGAAAAGAGTAGCATAACGGCGCTGCCCCGGCAAAATTTAGAGTTAAATGATCCGTTGTTCAAGCCTCAAACCTCACTGCTGGACTAGTTCTGTTCTTGTGTACAGCATTCTGTTTTTGTTTTTGTTTTTCATAGTTAATGTTGTCCTGTTTAGAGCGTGAGATGGCTTGGAAAGCCGATTTTCTTCAAAATCTTGTAGAAGGTCTTTTACAGAATGTCTCTCTTATCACGGGGTACCTAGAAGTAACTAACCAACTCTCCCGCCTTGTGCACTTTCATATGCAGTGAGTCAATATAAAAGAAAATTAGTAACCATAGAAATGAGGTGTCTGAGAAAGACTTTAGGAGTGACCAAAAGAGATAAAATCAGGATTGAGGTCATACGAGATAAAGTCGACACATAACCAATTCTAAATTACATACAAAATCAACAAATCAAACTGTTTGCCCACTTGGAGAGAATGCCTTCTGATGCTATAACATACAAAGCATACACCTGAAGAAGAGAGGGGCGTAGAGCAGAATGTACACAAAGAACAAGATGGGAAGATAACATCAAAGAAACTCTACAGCACCATTTGTCTATGGTCGAAGCAGCCAGAAGAGCCTGAAGCAGGACCTTATACCTCCATCGACACCCGAACCGATAAAAGAGGAAGTGAAGAAAGAAACCAGAAAGAGCCCCAGTTTTATTGGTGTCAGTAACATAAATATATGTTTAATTAGTTAGTTAGTTGGGTTATCCTCATTGCACTCCGGACATGTCCATAGGTGCTCAGATCCTCCCCTCAGTATGAACCCCAACGTCCGATGGCTAATAGTACCAGTTCTATGTTGATTAACAAGTCTTCTGGCGTGTCTGGTGTGCGTCTCGTTTTTTTCTGTACCGATCTTAATTCCCAAGTCTGCCATTCTGGCGAGTGATGTGGATTCACTGCCACCAAAGTCCTCTATCCTTCCCATTTCTCTGAGGGCATTGATAATATCAGCATGATCCATAGGCTGACCGTCGGTAGTGATAGCGTTTCCAGTCAACCTGTCAGCTCTTTCATTTCCATCGACGCCTGCGTGTCCCGGAACAAAAATAAAGGTGACTCCACGCACAGTGGACTTCTGTAATGATTCAAGCCATTGTCTTCGCACTGAACCTGCCTGAACCCTCCGGATCATACTCATTGAATCACTGAATATACACACGCGAGTGTATTTTTGTGTTTCAAGCCAGGCAAGCGCTTGCGTCACTGCCATAACCTCCATCGTCATGCTGCTTGTTGTCACGGAGAAGGCGCCGTTGGCTTCTTTCACTGTTCTGCCCGCTGAGCGTGCTGTAAATGCCCATGCGCTTCTTCTTTGGCGTATAACGGATCTGTCTGTATAGATTATTGCATCTGTTTCGTCTGAATTGTCACCGATGAGAGCGTTGATATGTTTAATATTTTCGACTAGTTACACTTCATTCCTGTGAGCGATTTCCCAGGGGCACAGCACACTGGTTTTCCCAGTGGCTAGGGGCCCAAAGAACTGTTAAGGCGGCCTTATCCGGCCCCAACAGCAGAAAAAGGGCGCGGTTTACTGAAAAGCAATTTTGATGACAGTTTAATCTCTTGTCGATTTCGCGACCAAATCAATTAAAAAAATGAATTTCACACCCGTTTATTTCTCTCTCTCACACACACACTATCTCTCTCTTCTCTCCCTCTCTCTCTCTCTCTCTCTCTCTCTCTCTCTCTCTCTCTCTCTCTCTCTCTTCATTTTAAGGGGTCATGAGAATATTTATTCAATTAACGCGGTGATCTGTGTGTAGATTTCAACAAATGAGGCACTGGCCTTAGGTTCATTCACAAAAACTTTCATTACCTAGACATTCTAAGGGAAATAACCAGGAATATTAAAATCTATATATAGCTGTGCTACAACAGGAGTAACCTTCGCATTGTAAAAGTATAAGTAGTTTGCATTCTTCGTAAACTTTTTAAATTGACAGTTGAGTTTCTGTTAATTATAACAATAATCTTTTAACCGTCTGGATCAAATTAATACAGAAGGGATCCACGCATGCGGAGAAGTGGGTGTTAAATGGCTTACTAGAATTTTTAATATGGCTACGGAACAAAGAAAAGTCCCAGCTTATATTAAATTGCCGTCCTTTGTAGGACGAACTTTTTTGTTATTTGAAGCCCTACTCTGGCTCTTTCCAGGGTCCGCAATATAGCCCAGCCATAAAATATGGCCTAATGGCTGAACGCGGTTTCTGGGACCTCTCTACAGGTGATTGTCATCCACATGGTGGCACATTGTGTCATCGGGTGTTTAATCGCTTGTGTGATGTCCTGGTGGGGTAGAAAGTCAGTCAGTCAGTCAAGTCCCAGCTGAATAGCAACAGGCACTAATAGCACCGTTATGGAAAAAGAAAGGTAATAGGAGAGAATGTGAAGCATACAGAGGTATCTCACTACTGAGTCAAGCAGGAAAAATGCACACCAAATTACTAGAACAGAGAGTTAGACCCATAGCTGAACAGTTACTAGAGAACATCATAGCCATGTACCACACAAGTTAAAGTGCAATAAGAACACAAGAAGGCATATCAGATATGCTCACAGTCAACACAGGTGTGAGAAGGGATGTATGCTCTCCCCACTTTTATTTAACATCTATATAGACAGAAAATCTAAAGAAGCAAGTTCTGACAACATAGACCTTTATAATCATGAGGAAGTACACACATCAGGAGAAGTTATCGATTCACCCCCAATAAACGAACTACTATTTGCTGACGACCAGTATTTGTTCTAACCTGAAGAAGATAGACTGCAAGACCGCATTAACTGATTAAATTCAGCATGCAGTAAATACAATATGAAGATCAATGTAAACAAAACCGAAACAATGCAAGTTAGTAGAACCTCTGCCCCACTACACATACATTTGAATGGTTCTGCTCTGAATCAAGTTAGGGAGTTTAAACATCTAGGAAGTATGATCACAGAAGATGGTAGAATTGACAGAGAAATAGAAACCAGATGTCAGAAAGCTAGTGCACATATATACCAACTGTCACCATTATTAAGACATCCAAGCCTAACTATGAGTGCAAAGAGACAGATTATTAATAGCATATTCATTCCAACATTAAGCTACCAGTACCAAACATGGACACTATCTAAAGCCCATATACGCAAAATTACCACCTGCGAGATGAGGTGCCTGAGAAAAGCAGCCAACTTAAGCATCTGAGATCGAGTGAATAATAAAACTATAAGGCAAATTGTGGGAACGACACCTTGTACTAGATTCATCGAGAAATAGCAGATCAAGTGGTTTGTCCATCTCTTTAGAATTAAGCTAGATCAGTTACCATCACAAGCACTACATCTAAGAAGATCAGCAACAGGAGCAAGAGGACGGCCACGGAAAAATGGATCGACAACATTAAAGACACTCTACACCTTCACAACAGGACAATAGCCAGTGGCAGCAAACGTGTACTGGATCGCAAATTATTCCTCCCCACGGCGCTTAACGGCAGAAGTGGTTTATGATGATGATGATGATGAATGTTTTAACCAAGCAAACAGAACTTAATACATTAAGCTAATCTTCATCATCACCCTTATGGAGTAAACATTTTTTTTTTTTTGGAAGCCCCACCCTGGGTCTTGCCAGGGGCCGCATTATAGCTTGACGGTTGAACGAGATTTCCGGGACCCCTCCACGGGTGATTCTCATTCGCATAGTGGCACCTTGTGTCACCTGGTGTTTATTGCGCCGTTTGATGTCCTGGTGGGATCAAAAATTACTTAATTACATACACAAAGCTTTGTAGTTTAAGAAAATATCAATTTAATCGTAGACATAAAAGATACTGTTTACATGAACAAAATCCCGTACAAAAACAAAAAAGTTTTGAGTTACAAGTAGAGTTTTTGAGATATGAGTGTAGTCATAAGTAAAATTTACTTATGTGTGGGTGGGTGTGTGTTTGCGTGTGTTATTTAAAAAAAAAAACTTGAGCAACTGTCAACGAAAGAGTGAGTAAATTTAATAAAACTCAAGACATTGTTAATAGATAGTCGTGTTGCAGACTACGTAATCACAGTAAATGAAATACCAACACTAAACCTGCTTGCAAGAGCCAGTCTTTGATGATTGCAATCACATTGAGTATGGTAAATAGACATAACTTTTTCTAGAAAATGTTTATGGTAGTAAGTTTTTAAAAATATCCTGTTTAATCCTCAAGCTTATAATTTTAATATTTAGTGTTCATCGTGTTCTTATAGTAAATATTTGTTATTTTATATATTTTGCAGTTATTTATGTACAACAATTGCCTAATTTGGATTGTTTGAAATATTGCTTTAAATTTTGGTTGCAGTTATGATAAAATTTATACTATATTTAGATAAGCATAGAATAATAGATGGTTTTATTAAGTGTATTTTTTTTTTAAATTTGCCCTACATTTGTTTTTCAGCTTTAAAAGTAATTTAACATCCAGTCAGTAAGAAATAAGATTTTTTAAAAGGCGGGGGTGGGGGGGGAGGAGTTGTGTTAGGAACAGCTTCTACAAAGGAACAATTCTGGCCTCAGATTATTACCCAAAAAACGCGAACAATACAAAACGAAATTTCACGAGATCGTACGAAAACGGAAATGACCTTTGACCTGTCATGGTATTGTGAATTATGATTGCTGTTCTAGATTGGTTTTAGTGGTTGTGTCACGAGACACAATCGCTGGTACACACTTACACAACGCCAACTCGGCTCATATTTACACAGTAGTTCTGTTAACAGAATAATAACAATGAGTTCTGAGGAAGAAGGAGACTCACACCACTTTCTGTTCAGTGACGATTTAGTGAACACTACGGCGACGTCTCACAGTTCTCAAGCAGTGGTTGAGTCGTATCAACTCACTAACCCGAGCAACCCCAGCGACGTTCATGTGTCTTTTGCACCCTTATCTATATCTAATCACAGAGGAGATAGAGATGGACATACTGGCCACCGTGCGCCTCGATCTCCGACAAGGGGTAGTGGACAGGGTGCCAAAGAAAACTCACCTTTGTTGGGACCCAAATCAGATTTTGAACATTCGCTAGGTTTTAGTGTTTGGAACGCTTTTCCGGATGATGCCGAATTTGCTGAAATTGTAACTACAGCAGAACTGGCTATAGAAAACGGTGTGTTTCCAGAGAGGATATACCAGGGATCTAGTGGCAGTTATTTTGTTAAAGATACCGAAGGGGTAAGTTCACTCTTACCAGTCTTCTTACTTCACAAAAATTTTTGTCGGTGCAATAAAACAGTTTCAATAATTTTATACAGTAGTGAAGTAGAACAATTTTAGGCACTCTTCCGAATACCGGCCCCAAATTATTTACCGCGAAAAACATCCCTTTGATGGCCTATATAGTAGAGGTAATATAGTAAAAACATTTAATCCAGCATTGTCAGGTTCCACTTCCGCCGTTATTGCTCGATGGATAGCAATGTTAAGTCGTTAAGCTAAGCGTCGTGGGGAGGAATAGTTTTGGATCCATTGAAGCAACATGGGGGAGGAAAAGATTGTTTACATTACCCATGATTTCCCACTTGGGTTCCACGGCCACATGTTTGAGTTAAAAAAAAAAAGGGAATAGATCCACTGCCACCTAAAAAGCATATTGTAAAAGGCAACTAATTAGGACTTTGCTGAAATTGGATGTGTTGGGGCGAAAGGCACAGATATCGCAGCCTAGCTGTAAACCACAACACAATGTGCCAACAGCCCTTTGTTGTTGTTGTTGTTGTTGTTATCGATCCAGCGGCGCATGAGCTTTCGCCCTTTGGCCCAATGCCATGTAGTGGAATTTGCATGTTTTCACAAGCTGTTCTTTTCCTCCGTACAAGGTGTTCCACTTGTCTGGTCTCGGAGGGAGTAGCGTTCTTCTTGTCTCACTGAGTTTTGGGCACTCAAAGAGATGGTGTTCAACAGTTTCGTAGGGGTAGTTACATAGCTGGCACTCTGGGGAGTGTTGTGGCTGTATTCTGTTTAGGTGTCCATTGAGTGGAGTATGTTGCGTTCTAAGTCTGAAGATGGTGGCCTGGTCCCTTCTTGTTAGATGGTTAATGCTGTCATTAGGATCAGGGCCAGACATATGTCTATAAACCTCTCTTCCAGTGTCTTCCATGGTCCATCTGTTCAACCAAGTCTCTTTGTTTATAGCTCTTATCAGTGTTTTTGCTGTCTGGAGGGTTGTCGCTGTAGGTGGTTGTTCTTGTATTGCTCCTTTCTTTGCCAATCTGTCAGCTCTGTCATTACCTGGTGTGCCGGAGTGACCTGGAATCCACTGCATCACTATTCTGATGTTGTATGAGGTAATAAGATGATCGGCATCCAGGATTATCTTGGCTATGTCAGTTCTGCAGCGTTCATTGCCCTCCAGAGCTTGAAGGGCAGACATTGAATCTGTGAAGATGACAATATTTTGGACCTTTGAGGGGTAAACATCCATTACAGTCTTTAGGTGGTATACTGCTGTTTCCAGTGCAATTATTTCAGCTTCATAGTTTGAACAGAATTCCCCGCATGCATCAAAAATCTCTTCAACAGATCCATCGGGATAACCTATGTAGATTCCGTAACCTGCTTTAATGGTAGCTTTAAATGCTGATCCATCAGTATAGACATGTATCCATTCTTGGGGGTAAGAATCAACGGTCTTTAGTGATGAGTTCATAAGAGCGATTGGGTCGGACTGTTTGGTTTCCTCGCCTACCAATTTAGTTTGGACTTCTGGAGCTTTAAAGCGAGCATGTGGTGGTAGGTTTTTTTGCAACATTCTGAATTCCTTGACGTCTTTCTGGGAGGTGGTATCTGTCCTGAATTTCATTTACACAGTGTAAAACCGATTTGTGCTTTATTCTTTGTTTGGATTCCCAGTTTTCTACAAGATGTCTATTAGGATGGTTACGATTTTTCCTAACGCATCTTTCATAAATTTCTAAAGTGGCTTTTTCTCTCCGCAACCCGAGGGGTTCCACATTTGTATGGATTTCACATGCAGCAGTTGGTGTAGACTGCATAGCTCCGCAGATTAATCGGAGGGCATTATTTTGTACTCTGTCAAGAGTCTCTAGGTTAGTTTTGGAACAAGTTGTAAGCAGTGAGTTGTTGTACTCTATCACAGAGCGAACATATCCTAGGTATAAGCCCCTCAGAGTTTCCTTGTCTGATCCCCATGATGTACCTGCAAGTCTCTTTAATAACTGTAACCGCCTCAATGCCTTATTCCTGATGTTTTCAATATGGTTCTTGAGGCTGAGCTGCGGGTCAAGTGTGACTCCAAGGTATGTGGGATGCTCTTCTTTCATCACTTGGTGTTTGTCTAACCTCAGGTTAATATTCTTCCTTGCTACTTGGTGGCTTTTGGTAAAGATTGTGTAGACCGTCTTTGCACAGTTAATCTTGAGTTTCCATCTTTGGCAGTAATCATGCAGTCTTCTAAGGTCTCCATTCAGTCTTTGGGCTCCACTTTCCACATTTTCATGACTCTGCCATATTGCTAGGTCATCAGCGTACAAGGCTTTTTCGGCCTTGATTTGTTCTGGCAGGTCATTGATAAAGATTAGGAATAGTGTACAGCTCAATGATGAGCCTTGTGGCAAGCCCTCCTCCAAGACTTCTTTAGAAGAGATTGCGTTGTGCATCTTAGTCTGGATTGTTCTATCTATCAGGAAGTATTTCACCCAGTTATACAATCTGCCATGTATTCCTATGCTCATCATCTTCATCAGGAGACCTTTTCTCCATACTCTGTCATAGGCCTGCTGGAGGTCGACAAAGACTGCCACTGTGTGTTTCTTATTCTGGAAGCCATCATGTATTCTTTGTGTCAGTCTGAACAGCTGGTCTTCTGTGCAGCTGTTGGTTCTGAAGCCTGCCTGTTCATGGCATAGAACACCAGAACTCTCAAGGAACCAATATAAGCGCCTGTTTATCATTCTTTCTGCAACTTTGCCCAAGCATGATGTTAAGGATATCGGGCGGTAGCTTTTGGGGTCATCTGGAGGCTTTTTGGTTTTAAGGATGGGGACGATATATGCATTCCTCCATGCCCTTGGAAGTTTGCTTGACCTCCAAGTTTTATTAATAAGCCTGAGAACTACTTCTCTCCCAGACCGGCCAAGATGTAGCAGCATTTCGTTGTGGATCTTATCTGGGCCTGGAGATTTTCTAGGTTTTAATTTCTTCAGGGCTTGCTCTAATTCATCCATGCTAAATGCATCTTCAAAAAGGGAGTCGCTGACTGTTGGGGCTCTCTCTTGTTTCTTCAACTGGAAGAGCTGTGTTCTATCGAGTTCTGACAGCTTACCTGCTTTGTTAACCGAGGCAAAATAATGATTGAAATGTTCTGCTTTCTTCTTGTCTTCAGTGATTGTCTTACTCTCATCTGTCACTGGTTTTGGGTTCATCCTTCTACTTTCTCCGGAGTGGTTTTTAACTAAAGTCCATGGTTTATTTCCTAAGTCTAAGGTCTGTTGAAGGAAGTTTCTGTCCATTTATCTATTTTAGCCTTATTAACTACAAGCTTTACTCTGGCACATTGTATTGGATCTTTGCTTCTGTTGAACGTGCAGTTTTGAGTAATATTCTTGCTTTATTCCTTGTAAATATAGTATTTTGAATTTCCTGATTCCATAAAGGTTTATATCCGTTCCGACTGCTTCTTGGGATGGCTTTCGACGCTGCATTCAGGATTGCTTGTGTTATGTCTTCACAAAAAGTTTCCACACAGCTGTTGTCAATTCTTCCCAGGAGGCAGTCAGATGTTTCCTGAAATAGTTTCCAGTTTGCTTTTCGGAAATTCCAACGGGTTCTCTGCTTGAAGCGTAATTTAGGGGTGGTGCTTACAGTTGTGAGTATAGGTTTGTGGTCACTTCCTATGTCGTCCAGGACTTGGGGATAGCTTGCGTCTGCTAAGTCGGATGAGCAGATGGTCAGGTCTGGTCTGCTGAGAGATAGGTGGGCCCTGTGTAACAGTGTAGGTGTAGACTCTGTGTCCTGCAGCACTAATAGGTTAGTTGTTTCACAAGTATCTTCGATGTACTTCCCTGTGCTATTGTAGTCAGGGTAACCCCAACGTGGCGAGTGTCCGTTGAAGCCAACAGCCCTTTAAAGGGCAAACGAAAAGCAAGTAGATTGCCTGCCTATGACATGACCAGTGAGCATCTCGCTGCCGCTATCGTAGCCGAGCTGTAATCAGCAAGACTGAGCGAAAGGCACAGATATCACATCATAGTTGTAAAGCACAACACAACTTGCCCACCGCCCTTTTAAGGGCTTAAAACAATTTTCTTCTGGCAGGGATTCGATCACCGGTATCTCGCGTGACAGACTGAATTCTTACAACTATACTACTGAAGATTCGAGAGGTTGGTTTAAATAAAATAATGTAATAACACGAAGCATAGTTCGTAGTGTTCCTATTCCATAATTTTAAATAAATAACATCTTGAGGCTCTGAATGGGATTTTTTAAACAGTTAATAATTTGGGACTGGTATTCAGAAGAGTGCCCAATTTTGAACAGGAATGATGAAGACTAAAATAGACTGCTCCATTTATTGGCTGGATTACTATTTTCTCCATGTATTGTATTAGTAAAAGTATACCAGCTACACTGTTGTTAATGTGTGTATGCCATATTTAGCATTCGCTTACCTAAGAACAAGACATATAATATTGTTCATGTTTATGTGTGTTGTGTATTTCAGCTTAGCCTCAAGTTAAGCCATTAATATTACGATTATATTGCTTCATTTTATACTCACTTCTTCTTCTTCTTCTCTTCCACCTTGTACCTCAGTGAAGTGTCGGGGGAGATGTAATGTTTTATACTGACTAACTTCCTTATTTAGTACCTCATCAAATACAGCGAGATATGACACAATAAATTGTGTAAGCTGTTGTACATTTCTTCATTTTCAATATAACAACATGCCTGTATTTAAAATTTTGAGTACAATGGACATCATATGGCTGCAGAAAAAATCTAGTTTAGTTTATATGACAGATAAACATCATGGCACAAGTGGTAACCCATAAGTGTGCCGTTCTACTTCTGACGCAAGCCTGAGTCAGAAGAATCGCAGCGCAGTGCATGAACTCCTTAGCACCGGCGAAGATCCTGAAATACTTTGGGTAGATTTGTCTTTAATCATGTGCACACACTGACTATTCACTGACCAGCTGCTGATCATATAA